TTTGTGCTGAATTCATGGCTCTGGGAGCTGTGGCAGCCTCCACTTCCAGTGACAGAGTCTTCTTCAGCACAGGCAGGTGGTGTGTTTGTGTGTGTGTGTGTGTGTGTGTGTGTGTAGATTCAACCTTGGAACTTCTGCTGCTAAGCTGCTGCTTCACTATTGCTTTACGGTCACCTCTCAGTCACAGCCTGTCCAATCAAACCAGGTTCACAAAGCATGCACAGATGGACAAATCCGAGTGCAAGCGTTCAAGAGGAATTAATCAAATGGATGGCAAAACTTTTCCGCTGTTGCCAGACATTTTACAGTGCCAGAAGATTTTTTTTCACATCCAAAAAGGACAGTGAGGTTTCCCTGATCTGTTAGAGTCATTCTTTGCTCATCATCTGTTGGTGGCCAGGGGGAGAACAAGCATCCAGTTCACTGACGGGAGGAGCGCTTGGCAATTCTCTTCCTGACATTTTCCAACTGCCAGATGGGATTTCTTGTGAATTGTCACTGCATCGAGTGTGTCCATGGGCTAGCGTCTTCTTGTTTGAAGGTGTGAATTCTAGATGGAGTGATATTTGTTGAGGAACTCCTACATCACGCATGGTTGTCTATTTTGGGTTGATTCAGTTTTAACTAGAGAGACAGATGGTTGGTCGGTCGGTTGGTTGGTTGGACAACACCCAACTCCCATCGATACTGGACGGCTCACAGAATAAATCAATTAATACATCATTCTGAATTAATGATTGATAGCACCTTCTACAGCAGTGTTTCTCAACCTTGGCCACTTGAAGATGTGTGGACTTCAACTCCTAGAATTCTCCAGCCAGCCATGCTGGGAATTATCACCCTCCAGGCCAGTGTTTCTCAACTTGGGAACTTGAAGATGTCTGGACTTCAATTCCCAGAATTCACCAGTCAGCATGGCTGGCTGGGGAATTCTGGGAGTTGAAGTCCAAACATCTTCAAGTGCCCAAGGTTGAGAAACACTGCTCTAGAGTCATCCAATCATCCCCAAGCCAAAATAGCAGTAATGTGAACAAGCTTTACACTATTTTGGTGATGGCTGGGTGATAGTATGAGGACACTATAAGTCAGAATTGAGCACAATGTCACAGATTTCACCCAGTCTCATCTTCTGGGATGTTTCTCTGAGCCCCCATCTTTCCCAGGCCCCCAAAATCTCAACTGTAATGCCCAGATGAAACTTTAGACCTACCCCAGTGCAGAGCTGAATAATGCATACCGTATATGCTTACCTTGGTGCATTCATCTTTAAACACTGCTTCTCATCAGGGCTGCGCACAGTGCAGCCAGTTTGGCCTCACATCGCACCCATTGGAAGTGTCAGCAAAAAAGGAAGGCCTGAAATGCAGGGGATGAACTTGGCTCCTTGAAGGCATCCATCATTCATAAGGGACAGGAGAGGCTAGCAAAATTCTGACGACACAGCATTTCACAATATGTGACCTGCTGCATGCAGGAAAGCTAGTTCGGGCCTCTGCTGCTTCCAGTGCTGGGTTCATAAACTCAGGAAGAGCATGGATCAGGACATCACAGAGAGCTGTGAGTTTGGCCTGACTGATTTGGCCACCTCTGCCACGCGTTTCTGGAGCTGACGTGAGAGAAAGACTTGTTGCTGAGGGACAAATACCAGGGTCACTTCTCTGGGGCAACTTTACAGGTCTACCCTACTTTTGATGTGGGAGACCCCCGATCCCCTGTCCTTCTGTGAAGCAGGAGCAGCAGTGCTGGAGTTAGGGAGCTCATACAGAACGGGAGATATACTTCAGATAGGTAAAAGGACCTGTGGATGAACTACTACTGTCTGTTCAGCAACGTAACTCTAATTTGCCCCAACCTGCAAGGTGGAAGTTCTCCTTTTGATATCTAGTATTATCAGCTGTATCCAATATCTTTTTCATGCCTGGTGTTGTCCCTGCAGCCCCAGATCCTTAAGAAACTCTGTCTTAGTGGATTTAACTGATTCTTTACAAAATAATAAGCCTACGGCTATTACTTATAAGTATTCATTAAATATTCAAGAGGACAGGGCACAGTTTAAGGACCTGGCATGTCCTTAAGATGCACTGGGTGGGAATCTGTTTTGCCCACAAGAAGTCCCATTTCTGTAGATTTACAAAGACAAATTAATTCAGCAAAAACTATTTCATCTCTACTGGCCACACACCCTTCCTTCGGGGAATAAATTGATGGATTCAACTAAAGGCGGGCAGGGCGGTGCTCCAAACGCCAACAGCGGTGGTGCATCTGACGGAACTCCATGCCTTTTGGCTGAAGGTTGGTTTTGTTTTGAGACCTGAGGCAGAGATGGCAAGAGGAGAAAGGAAAGCACACCAAATGCTCTTATGGTAGCCAAAAAGTGGATATTCGGGGATACAGAGGCTAGATCTTTTGTTCCATTTCCAAACAAGCTTCCTATTGCCAGGAGTCTTCAGTGGAGGAGTAGTTAAGAATTTGGTCTGGTGGATCTTTAATTTTCCATTTCTTTTTCTCTTCTAATGTTAGGTAAACCAATTTAAATGCAAACAAATTAATTGTGTGGCGTGGTATGAATATATATGACTAAGTTATTAATTTGCGAGTGACTAATACTCATGTAAATTCTTCCTATTCCTTTCTTCCGCCTTTTCCTTTTTGCAAATGATTCAAAAAGAAGCTTGGGTGGTGAAAGAGCAGGAAGCTTTGAGGGCCGTTTCTGCCACAGGCAGGCGCAGGCGAGATGCTTGTTAAGGGGAGACCAAGAGCTCCTGGGAGCAGCGCCCCAGGCGATTCCCACCCCGATCCAAGTACCAGGGGAGCCCGCTCAGTTTTGCAAGGAGCAAGGTTGGGACCCCCTTTTTCCCTCTCAAAGGACAGGCTTGTTTGCCCCCTCACCTTCCTCTTAAGCAGACCGTCTCCCATGCAGTAATTCTCAGGCTGCACTTCTGAGTTTGGGGGAAATCGTTTTGTCGCGGGCATTATCTTGAGGGCACTTTCTACTTACACAAATCTGCAGCTCTCAAGAATTACAGAACAGGAAGGGTTTCCTTTCAAGACCAAATGGGATTTGGTGCAATCCTGTTAAAGTATTGTGGTATTTGTGCTCGACAAAGCCAGTTCCTGCATAGCATGATTACACCCTGCGCCCACTCCCATTCACACATGGCAGCTTTAATTCACTGATCTCAGGTGCTGCATGGGACTTTCCAGGACGCTTCCAGACGGGGAGCAGCGAGTGCTGCCATCAAAACACATTAAGCAGCAACTCATGCTCTGTACTCTGAAGAGTTCTTTCTGCTAAAAAAAACAAGATGAAAGGAGCAGTGGGAAAGGATGGTCAAGCTTGACTCCTGGAGTCAAACATGGCCATGGAGTCAAACATGTCCCTGGAGTCTTCCGGGCAAGCTGCCTTCTCCTGGGAGGTTCTCACTTCCACCCTATAGCCCTGAGATTTCCTGGTAGTCCCTCACACTAACCACATCTTAACCTGCTTAATTTGGGGGTGGGGGGAATCAGCCCAAAAGTTACCGCTGGGAGCTATCAAATGGAAGGTTACCGCATCTCGAACCTTCTGAAGACTTACTGAAAGGGGTGGAGAAACCATCCCAGGCTCTAGGTGAAGTAGGACATCTCAAGAGCAAACCAGCACCATGAAACCAACATCATATCCTGCAGAAATCTTTTCCCAGGCTTTGCCCAGGAGAACTTTCTATCGGATGAGTTAAAGTGGTGATTTCTCTGCTGCTGCGGTGGCCCCTATGGCACCCACCAACCTCAGCTTCAACACGCCGCTTTCCTTTTGATTCGCCACCTCGATGGCTTTTACGCTGAGCGAGGACCTGAAGTCGTATAAGTGCAAATAAAAGCAGCGCGATGGAGCTACCCCTGGCCTGCCATTGGCTTGTGGCCTCTCAGGGTCCTTGGAGGAAGCCTGGACTGGTCAGGGTGAACTCTGGGGGCGGAGTGGCCAGCAAAGCCGCCTGGAGCAGAAGACGCAGGGCCTGGTCAGGGAGCTGCCTGCCCACCCGCCGTTCGGCAGGGCCTCCCGCAGTGCTTCTGCCACCTTGGCTGAATTTCCTCGGACACGCCTTGGTGCCCGTCCAGAAATACCTCCGGGCCCTCCCAGGAGCTGTTCTGAGCGCAGGAGGGGGAGTCCTGTTCTGGCTCTCTCCGAATGCTTTTTGGATTCTGAAGGAAGAAAGGAAAACATGTTAGTGCCAGGCAAGCGCTGGGGAACGGCCAGCCGAAGCCACGTGCGGCCCAGAACTGCCTCCAAGCCAGCTGATGGCAGGGGGGCGGGGGGCAGAGATGCCAGCTTGGGAGGGAGGAAACCAGTCCTGCTCTTTGGGTCTTGAATCAAAGCCCGCTAGCGCAGAAAAGAAGTGCGTGGAGATCTCCCCTTTCCGTCTCTCCAGGCCAGGGAGAGTTTCGCTACGTGGGGTCGGTCTGCCGACCAAGCTGCCCGTAGAGGCAGATGACTAAGAAGGGCTCAAAGGGCCAGCCCCCGCGTCCTAAGCTCTGCCTCAGTGGGGAGGCTGATGCGCCAGGGCCCTCGTGGTGCTCCCCGCTCAACAGCCCCCCCGCTTCCCCCCGGCTGCCCTGCCAACGCCGGCCATGTTCCCTCTGGCTGCTCCGGGGTGGGGTCGTCCTGCGGGGGCCGGCTCCCCAGCAGCTGCCCTCAGCTCTCCCCTGCCCCCCCCCCCCCCCCCCCC